TGGAATTTAAATGGATACCAAAGCATTATTTTCAGCCAGATATTAATTTTAATATGTTCTTATTAAAAATATATAGTTCAAGAACATATTTCTGAATTTATAAGCTGCTAATTTAAACAAATTTATTAATTCAATGAGATGTTGGGTGTTGAGGGGACAATGGCCAAGCTCCAAAATAATTAATTCAATTACATGCTTTGTAAATTACCTGCTAACCTCATTTTATCCAAATGCTACCTGGGACTGAGCTTAGATAATAAAGACAGTTTAAGTGGGGAACACTAGAGTACTCAAAAGTATGTAGGTGTCCATTACAAATATGTTCAAAAGCTTCAAAAATGTATCAAGGGAGTAGGAACTTAATTTACTGAGGTTCTACCATGTGCTACAAATTGTATACAATAATCACATTATTTTACTTAATCCTCTCAAATGCTTTGTGGAATGGGATGATTATTCCCATATGAATGAATACACTGAAAACTGTACAGGCACAGTCACATACTTAGAAAATAAAAGAGCAGAGAATAGAACCCAATCTGTCTGACCTCAGAGCCTATTTGCTCTTTTAATTACATCACACAATCTTTTATGATGCCTTCAAGGGATGGTACTAAATTTTACTTTATTTCTAATTGATCTATATTTTAAAAAGTGTTTAAACACTTTACTTTTTTTCTGCTTCCACAGTCTTATAAATTATTAACTATTTTATGGAAGCAAAGATTTACACAGTAGAAATATGACATTTTAAAAAAACCCTTCAGTTAATCTTTCTGAATTTAAATCATGTTCTTCCATTTGCCTGTTAATCTAAATTTGTGGTTTCTTACAGAAGAGCATACATGTCTAAATACTAATGCTTTGAAAATAAAAGGGCCAGAAAACAAACCTCACCTTAAATCTACACTTTATAATTGTATTACAGGCAAAAGGAATCATACATTTTTTAGTGTGTTAGCGTCAACGTATTGGATAATGTCTTAATCATTCTATCAATTTTTAAACTCCCTGTAAACCAATACCACTAAACACATTTTTATCTCCCATGACATTTTATAGAGTAACCTACATATGTAAGTACTGAATGTTGGTTAAATGAGTGAAAAGAGCAGAAAAAAATATGAAATACCAGAAATTACATTTAATACTTTATAAAAATAAAGTTCCAACCAAATGTCAGTTACATTCAATATTTATTGAGATACAATCATAGCAACAGGAGGCATTGCAAAGATACATAGTACTCCTATTTAGGAGTATGTACAGTAATGCCCAACTCCAACCTCCTCACTGTTATAATTCTGATAAATTCAGAATATTTATTCTGAAAGAGGATAAAGGCAGCCAGGAAAGGAAAATAACAAGACAGGGACCTAAATGAATTCTGAAGAAGGTTCAATGTTAAGATAATTTGAGATGTATTCAAATATTAACAAGAGACCACCACGTCCTGAAATTTACATATCAATCAAGGCCAGAACATATGTATAATTGCTAATAAAACATCTGATAGAGCAGAGCCAGTGTGGCTTGGTGATTGACCATCAACCTATGCACCGGAGGTAACGGTTTGAGTCCTGGTCAGGGCACATGCCTGGGTTTCCGGTATGTAGTGGGCATGAAGGAGGCAGCTGGTCAATGATTCTCTCTTATTATTGATGTTTCTCTCTCTCTCCCCCCTCTCCCTTCCTTTCTGAAATCAATAAAAATATATTCAAAAACAAATAAACAAAAAACATCTGAGAGAAAATATTGTAAAGGAAGATTAAATGAAAACAAATTTAAGTTTGAAAATACAATCTGTCTTAAGGATCTGGTTGTATTTCACTGCAATTTAAAATAATTGTGGAATGTTGTACCTAATCATTCTGGACAAAAGACACAAAAAGAATAAATTTTATCTGTGCCCCCATGTTCCTAAAGTGACCATCATTAAAACATGTATAAAATTCTATAAAAGTATCATTGCAGAACAAAGTTTTTTTAAAAAAAAATCTGCCTTTGCTCTTTAGGGAAAAATAAACAACTGCAAATTTCTAAAGTAGTCAAGTTCCACTTGATTTACATGTAAAATAAAAGAATAATATAAAAATATAAATTACTTAAAATCTTAATGATACTTTACTATTTTCAGAATTCTATAGGTTAGAAAAACAAATGTGTATGGGAAGTAAAAATATTAACATTCACATATTAACTAATTAGGTAATCATGAAGTTACAGAATAGAATTAGGAGACTATGTAAAATTTACACTGTCATTGTATAATCCCACGCATTACATTAGAAAGGAATGCTGAAGTCTAAAACCCCCACACATATCTAGGCAAATTCTCCACCTACTACTTAATGTATAAGGAACAATTCTTTTCTAAAAACATTACAAAATTGACATTTCCATGGGCTTTTAAATTTGCAAACCAGGAATCATAGTAAAAACAGAGACAGTCAGGGACTCAGTTAAGCATTAATATAGTTATTTAGAAACGCTCTAAAAATGAATCTGATTCTGCACTGTGTTCTAAAATGTAAATTCAAGAAATAAAGCTATATATCTGACTAACTTACTATATGTGTATAGTTCATTTATCCTCTTCATATAAAACCTGAGTTCCTAATTCCAGATAAATACATGCAAATGGATTGAAAAAATATTAAATATATAAATCAGACTTGTAATTTAATAGGTAGATTTGCTTACACATTTTTATTGACATCAATAATGAGAAAACAAAAGATAATGTCATAACTAAGGGAACTTATCCCAAACTCCATTAGCACCCAGAATATTTACTGCTTTGTGGCTTTGCTGCAACTGGTATATTTAGTAAGAACTACTTTGGGCCATAAAAAAGGGTAATATCTAAATATAAACATTATTCAATTTTAATTATGAAATTTTATTTGCATTTTGCATATCAATGGAAAATTTTAAATGATTTTTGTTATGTGCAGAAATGCACTAAAACCTAATAAATGCTTAATACTTTCTAATTTGGGAAATTGGTAATCTAAAAAGAGTACATTTTGAAAAATTATTGCTTTATTTATGTTATGAATCATTCAGTAGAATATTTGTGACATGTTCTTTAAAATGTTCTAAACGTTAAAATACATGTCACCCTCTATAGTACAATTACTCAAAATAAATTAATAAAATAATATTAGTAATAATATATAATAGAAAATATAAAATCCTTATTCATATATTTCTGAATTAATTATCTAAATGATAAAGAGAACGGATGACTTTTTTCACTCAGAGCATAAAAGTGCTCATCAGAAAACATATTCATATCTTAAGGTCTTGCTACATGCAAAGTGCCTGGCTTGGTCTGATGCAAAATACAAAAGAGAGCTTATATCAGTGGAAGAAAAAGTCATGTATGAATAACTACAATTCAATAACTCTGGTAAAAGCCATTGAGTAATTCAGAAAAGGAGCCATAGGAATTTGGTTTTAGCTAAAAGGAATGAGGGAAGTATATCCTCTTTTGATAAGAAGGAAAGATAAAGGAGCTCTATATATATTTGTGTAGGGGGTGAGGCAGGGAGAAGAAGTAATTTGTTAATTATTAGTGTTCATGCTCCTTAATTATTAGGATTGCTGAGCTCAAAATGGGCTGTCAAGGTATAAGGGTAAAGATGGAAGAGTAAGGCTGGGATGGAAATCAACTCCTGCCGCAGTAATCACACATAAATTCTGCAATATTAAAATGGCTATGGAAAACTGAAGTATGCTGGGTTCTATAAAGAGCTCTGTCTAAAGATATTGCCACACTTAACCATTGATAAAAATGCCCTGTCCTGCACTGTGATAAAAGTCACGTTATCTACTGAGAGGATCCAAACAAAATTTGGAGCTTTAAAGTAACTCAAGAATGTTAAAATCCTCAAAGCAACCTCAAAATTTAAGGGGAAATAAGCAGTTATCATGTTTAAAATCTCCACAAAGCTATTAATAGTACTTAGTAAATCTCTGCTAGTTTAGGGTTTTATATATACATAATTTAATCTTACATGAAAGTAGAAGTCTCTCCTCAAATTATCCAGATAAGTGGAACACTCATTAGGCCATGTGAAATAATATGCAAGCTGTCTACAATAACAAACAACACACATTCCGAGGATTCAGTCCGTGCCACTATTCTATGGATTTCTTTAGAATGGAAAAAAAGTGTGGAAGCAGTCAAGGAAAACTGAATAATTCTAATCTATAAAATCATCACTCAGAAAAATAATTTTTAAAGGCAAAATATGTATTATTTCTAAGGTACACCATCATCCTCATAGTTTTCATAGCGTATTTCAAAATAAATAATCTCAAAGGAATTAATTCTTTAAGTTTTAGGCACAAGATGATTTCCCTCAATATTTGCAGTGTAATGTTAAATATATTTTAGGTTTTTAAAACATAAAAGCAATCTTTTAACATTAAAAAATTAACTGCCATTTAAAGAAAGACTTTATAGTGTCAATATACCATGTTAAAAACTTAGCCAATAAAAAAAAAAATAAACAAAAAGCAGGGCTGTCACAGAGATCTAAAGAAAATCATTAGCAACATTTTCTCAGCTTTAAATTGAAAAAGTATTGGTATCTAGTAAACAAATCTTCTTCTGCCAAATAAGAAATAAAAAATGCATATATCCTAACAAAAATGGGTAAATAGGATATAAACAGATATTTCCAGTTTCCATGATCATACACAGAAAATAATGTTATTATAATTTTAATCACCTACAAAACTGCAGTTCCATTTAACAAACAACTTTCAGTGTCTGACATTTAAAGAGACAGGCTTAAGATCCATGTTTCACCAGCTCAATGAATATGTCACAACTGCCAATAACAGATACAGCAGCATCTCATCTTACAGTGAAAAGATGCCAGAAAATACGACTATATATGCATACATATATATGCCAACTTCAAACATTTTAACTGTAAAGCAAAAAGAAATTACTGAAGGGGAAGATTATATTTTAAATAACTTACCTTTCGTCCATCACTTGCATGGCAATTCACATTGAGAGGAGTAAGTAAAGCCATTAGTTTTTCCTCATTACCGCTCCTATAAAAAGGTATGTTATTCTTTTAAAATTATAGACCTTCTTATGTATATTTATAGATGTTTTTTACAAGAAGGAAAATAGTATGGGTTTGCTTCAATTTCTTTTATATGGTTTTAAATGACTCTCTTTTGCTATATTCAATTCAATTAATATATTCCTAATGAATTCCTGTTAATCACCATGTAGTGGTACAGCTTGGAAGATCTAGCTTTCTACATTTTTAATGTTTTATTTGTCTGCAGAAAGTCACCTTCCTAATTACAAGCAAACTTTATTCTGATAAGTGATCTAAAACACAGGAGTTAAAATATATACAAAATGCAGTAAAAAGCTAATCAATTAAATTATAAATGAACAAGAACAAAAGAAAATGAACGAGAATTTTAACATTTACTTTATGCCCCTCATTCAAGCTTTTGAAAATTAGAAAAAATTTTAAAGAAAAATGAAGGTATAGATATTTAAATACTCTGAGAATATCATTGGAAAAGCCGGACAACTAAGGTTTGCAGGTACCTTCGATATGTTCCAAATACAATTAACCTTACAATCATCACCAGACTGAGAGACTGCCTCATTTAATACACCTAATCATGTAAAGTAAAATACACAAAAATTTACTAAAAGGTCTTATCTGCATTATTGCATAAAATCAAGCAAGACAATACCATGTTATAATTTTTATAGTCCTCCACCTGCCCACCCCCTATTCTCCCTTAAATGCATTATACTCACTTAAAATGAATGGAATCACTTACCTAGCAGCTTCTAGGAGTTCGTCTTTCTTGTATTCACCTAGATGATTACAAAATATCATGCTGTTAGCATTTGGCAGAAGACAGATTAAGAAATGCAGTAGGCAGCAAATAGAGAATTAAATAGAGAAGAACAGAAAAAGATAGTCCACACCCCGCTGGGTGATGGAGCCGTGACGTTAGCCAGCTTGTGAAGGCAGCATCACCAGTGCCTTGGAGACGGGCAGCAAATTGACGCAGCTTCTTGTCCAATCCTCAGATGAAGTAGCTTTCTTCAGACAACCAATGAATGCTAAATCTCATGTCCAGAAACACATTCCCTCTGATAACAGCATGCCAGCTGAAGACAATACGCCCTTCCCCCCCTTTTCTATTCAGCCTGTCACAGTATACTTGTGAAGCATAATACATTCTGAGACAAAAGCAAAATAATGTGGCTCTTTAAAGGTACACATTACTTGTCTTTAAAAAATTCAGTTTTTTGGTAAAGACATGGAAAGTTAAAAAACACACAATAATTGCCATTGCTGAGTTTTATAGCAGCAGAAAAAAAATCAGAACCTTGAAGCCTTTGCCTGGATAGGGTAGGTCTGTAGACTAGAAATACATGAACTATGTACCAAATGCTATGAACCTCTTGGAGGCAGCGCTCCAAAAACCAAAACAGGGAATACCTTTCTAAATGACAATAATTTTCTAACATGCTATAATCTTTATACTTTATACAAATCCAGTACCAAGTTGTAACAAACAATAAACCTTAAAAATATTTTTAAAAAGCAGGCTGGGGTCTCTGTGAATGAGCAGATATCTAACTATTGAGATGTGAATACACTTTTTTCATTCTATTTTTTAATATATCACAGACTAAAAAGAAGTATATAATTTAAGACCTCCAATGCAAACTTCCTAGGGTATTCAAGATTTAACAAACACGTTTCTTTTGAAAGCTTAATTAAAGATAAGAAATTTTAATAATATAGCGTCTGTTCATTCAATAGAGAAAAAGAATAGCCAGGACTATTATTCAGCTTTAATAATACATGGACTCAGTTTGCTATATCACTGAAGAAATACTTATGTTTAATGCTATGAAGAAATAAGCTTAAATTATTTTTATAATCTTACTGTAAATATAGATTTCTTTGCATTTTGTTTCTGTTTTGCTACAGAATGCAGACTATTGATGCAAACACTATAAAGACACTTCAGGACCACCAAGCACATGTTTAAGTTCTATAACCCATCATTGGTAAATATTCTTTTAGTTTAGACTCAGTCTTGCTTCTCAAATTAAGATTACATTAAAATCTAAGAACTGTGAAAAGTTATTTTCTAATAAGGAAATCATTTTTAAAAATCTATTCTTCCCTAAGGAAATTTTATATGCCAATAAAATCACAGGTTCAACAATAAACATAGATAAGCTAGAATGCATGATTCCTGATAAGAGTTGGCCTTTCCTATTTCCCATATTTTGCACTCCAGATTCTTTAATTGATTCCCAGTTTAAGATTTGTATTATTATATCTCTCGCCAATAAAGCTGTTGACTTCCCAAAACCAAACACCTATCTTTACTAAACATTTTAGTTGGCAATTCGGAAGTTGGTGAGTTAATCATAACCTCAAATATCTTAAATATCAAGAGCAAAGAAAATCACATTATGGAATTATCTATAGAAGTCTTTCTGTCAATGGACATTTATTTGAAAGGCCTATATGCCAGATTCAAAACCAAGAGAGATGCTATCATCTCTGCAGTCAAGGAATTATTAGTCTATCAAATGAGACAGATGAGTAAACAAATGATTACAGTAGAGTATAAAAAGAATCGTATGAAGTTCTATAAAGAGCGTAAAGACTAGTCTAAGTGGGAATTAATAAAAGGCAGGTAATTATAGTTCAAGGAAGATTTCTTGGAAGATGGGAAACTTGCACAGAGTTTTGAAGGAAGACAGGTGATCCTCAGGTAAAGAAGGCTGAGGGAGAAGGAAAATGGTAGCTCTGCAAGCCTGAAACAAAGGACTTGCAGGGGAATGGGTAAGAATGAGGCAGAGAAGAATCAGAAAGATCATGAATGACCCTCTAAGAACTCTGAACATTATTTCAAAAACAATGAGGAAATATTAAAATATTTTAACAAGGGGAGTACAAAGTATATTTAAAGATCTGCAAGTTTTGTGATTACGTAAACTATTTCTATGCTCTACTCCAGTGAACTTTAGTTGGGAAGAAAAGTGGCCCAAAGCAAAGAGGAGGTGGACAGAGTAGGACAATGAATTTTGACATAGTTTATATTTTTGAGTAAGTATAAATTCCCTTATATACAGTAAAAACATTAAAATTGGGGACTGAAAGTAGCTACTATTGAAATCTATGTCATAGTAAAATGTGACACCAATAAGCTAGGTAGTAAAACTGCAAAGTATTTGGGATCTTCAAAGCTAAAAATCAGTCTACCTACAGTTTTTTCCAAAAGGCACATTTTTGCAAAAATGTTATTCCCTCATAGATAAGCTGATAATAAGCCAAAGTGTTCAAAAGAAAACATTTACATATATCTGACAGAGTCGGACATAGGTGTTACAAATGGCTTTCTACTCTTACTGTTAGGGAGCCTAGTACTTTAATCAGCTTTGCTGCAATACATTCCAACATCCACTATCTGGTGCCCAAGGACTACAATCCATAAACAGTCTAAGCTATTTTTCAAAAGCTACATCGCAGCTACAACCAACATAATGAATACAGGAGGTCCTTTATGCACTCTGACAACAAATCTAAACTACTTATTTAACAAACCACAGGTTCTGTTCCATTTTAGCTGAAAATCTGAAAATATTCTGGCTGAGACTATGGTGCTCTATGGAGCATTTATATTCTTTAATAACATTCAGATAAAGGCTAGCAATAGATCAGTCAGGAACAAAACTAGACAATTATAATCAAGATAATAGCAGCCAGGAAAGGAGAAAATAGATGGCTTAAAATATTTTTCTTTGATTAGAATAAAGCAAGTGGGATAAAAAAATAAGCAAGCAAAAAGTATATTTTCCAAAGTCTGAATTTTTATTATTAGTAAACTAATAATAGGATACATGTAAAGATAAGCATGTGCGTGCGTGCACACACACACTCACACACACACACACACACAGGGATATAAGTTAATGTGTTAAAAAGGTATGTTATCAGAAAGAAGGTTAAAAATAAAGGCTAAAACATAAAGATTAAAAATAAAACTCCCCTTGTATTTCTCTGAAGTAGAAGACAAATTACTTTTTGAATAAAAATGAAGAACACCTACATCAATAAATAGAAGTCATGATTATTGACATCTCAATTTTAACATTTTAAGGGGCTTCTGACCCTTTTTTCAGCAACTGACAGGGTCAAAGTAGACTTGATTTTGTAAAAATGAGTTCATTTGGCTTTGTTGAGATGGAAGAGCACGGAAAGATTATGATCATGAAATCACAAGTTCTTAAAGCAGTAAGGAACTAAAAAGAATTATGACCTTTCTTTTCTCTGCTTTGAAACCATGCATAATACATGCCTATCAGTAACATCTCTTGTTATATGGCATGAGGGGGGAGTAGTTTGAAAGTCACCTTTCTCCTGTCACCTCACCCCCAATTTCAGTCACTCTCCTAAGGGACCATCTGCAACAGATTCATTTACAGTTAATGAAACTGACACTAAGGCAGTTAAGTGAACTGTCTAAGGTTTCATGAGTGTTATTCACTATCTGTTAGGCCCTGAACATGGCTAATATATGAGTAAAAATGAAACAAATCTGAGCTTTCAAAGAAGCAATGTAAACAAAAGAGTAACAAAACAATAATAGCAAAACAATTTTAAAAAGCAATCCCAATAACTAGTTTTAAACAGATAAAACATATTTATATAATATAAGCCAAATATTTTCATCAAAACTATATTAAAGCATTGGAGCTTTCATATGAGCTTGTAAACATGGGCAAAAAAAGAAAAGTAATTTTAGTTAATATTTTGGGCCAAGGGACTAAGAATGAAGAAAATCCATCCCGAGACTATTCAAATGACCAATGCATTTTGCATTCCCCATAACATGCTTTAATTCCTCATGCTTTAGGTATCTCAAGGGAAGAGCTATGTATAGACTTCAATCAAGAAACAGATTCATAGATACAGAGAACATTTTGACAGTTGCCAGATGGGAGGAGAGTTGGGGGTGGGGTGGGGTGGTGAAAAAGGTGAAGGGAGTAAGAAGTACAAAGTGGTAGTTACAAAATAGTCATGGGGATGTAAAGTATAGCATAGGGAATATAGTCAATAATATTATAACTACATTCAGATGGGTACTAGATTTATTGGGGTGATCACTTTGTAAGTTATATAAATATCTAAACACTGGGTTATAAACTAATACAATATTGTCGTCAGCTGTAACTGAAAAATAGAAGAATATTATAAAACAAAACCTGTTATCAAGGACTTTATGTTGCCAAGTATTAAGTAGTACCATGAGTTGATAATTTTCATACAAATATTTTTTCATCAAGATACTGGCAAATATAAGAGTTGAATTGATTCTTGTAACTAAACTGACAGCCTATAGGTAAAATAAAATATTAATTTAGGCGATATATTCCATGTTTTCACTAATAGTTTGAAAATTTGGAACCAGCTATGTAGTGATAGAAGGAATTTCACTAAAGCACCAGGGGATAATCTAATCTCAAGAAGTTAAAGCTATGTCTTCCACCAAGATCAATTTCAGATTAACTGATATTCTACTATATATAAATGATGATCTAAGAATTATTGAATTATTTTTTCTCCCTATAATCTTTCATGAATATTTTCAGGACAATAGGGGGCAAATTACAGTTATCAGCATTCTCAATGCATTTTTCTTACTTCTGCATCCTGTCACTCTTCTTATTCATTTTGCTACTTGCTTCAAAGTCTAGAATTATGATCAGACTAAACACTCAACAGTCATTCTAAACATTGAATAATTTGGGGCTTTCAAAATCTAGGCTTGAGCAGAGTA